GTAAAGTGCCTAAGGAGTGCCAGGCATTCGCAGTCTGGTCAGGGGACATGTGAACAATTAAATGTCACCAAGTGCTATGACAGAGGATAGATGGAGCACAAAGGAGGGGACAGTAGGTTCTGGAAGGGAGGAAAGGGTATCTCGGGGGGCTTCAGAGGGGAGACGACCTTTGCTCTTAGTCTCAGGCCTGTTTCTCAGGTGGCTAGGCAGTGGTGGGAATTAAAGAAGGTGTAGGCCATGGCAGGTAAGATGCCAGGGAGAGGGAGGGGAGTCAGGAGTGAAGGCCAAGAACATCCCAGGGCATCCTGCAGTGGCTGGATCTCAGGCTGGGCCCCAGGGCTGCCGAGGTGGGCAGAGGCCAGATCACCATGGCCCTAGTGGGTTCTGCTAACACACAGATGTTCTCCTGTGAGTCCTTCTACCCGGAGTGTGGTCCTCCAACCAGCAGCATCGTTGTCCCCTGGGAGCTTGTCAGAAATGCAGACTCTCAGGCCCCACCCAGAATCTGCACTGTAACCAGTGGTCTCCAGGTGGCTCACATTCTAGCATGGGAAGCTCTGAGCTGAACCACTGTTTCCACCCCTTGGAAATACAATGACTTTTTAACATCTGGATATTTCTCCCACGTCACCTCCGCACAAACACTGCCATGCTTCTCTATATTCATTGACTGAGAACATAGTAACAAGAAGTCGCTATGAGTTCGGTAATGCTTTGAATGGTTTTGAATTCTATAATCACATCGCAATCTATCTACACGATCTGTTCGGCCATCTGGTTATTTATACCTTATTCCCGCCACCGGTGTGTGTGAACAGGATTTTTATGAATAGAATCTTAATCATCCACCAACTTCCCCTATAATTTCAGAGACAGGGCTCTCCCTGGCGGCTTTTCAAGGGTGGTGTCTCCTGCATGCCAGTCGTCCACCCGGACTTATCAGCCTTCTTCACAAGTAATTTATAATCTCTGAGCCTGAATGCACCAGGAAAACTCATTTAAAGAATCCTTGGAATAAATCTTTCTGTAATGAGAGCAGACCCAACTCCACCCGGGTTGCCTTCACTAATGTATGTTTTATAAATATTCTATTTAAGAGGCGTGTGTTACGTGTAGCCACTCTTCTCTGTTATATAGCTAAGTCCTGACATCAACTGTCCCCTTCCCCAACACGAATACATCCCTCTGCAGTATATGAGGTGCTTCGCCTGCATTCTATCTTCTGGTCCTTACACAGACACTCGTAGGACATAGAGCAGTTCTTCATTTAACACAGTAGCCCATTTAACAGATGTGGTAAGCAAGCCTCTGGACGCTGAATGACTCTCCCACGACCCCATGGCTATCATTGGAAGTATTGGAACTCGGCTTCCATCCATAGCTTCTGATTTGGCCCTTGACTCTTTCCACCAAGAGCTAGTGTTGCTTAAAAATTAAAACAGAGCCTGGCCCTGGTGGTTGGGCATCAACCTTTGAACCAGGAGGTCACAGTTCAATTCCCAGTCAGGGCACATGCCTAGGTTGCGGGCTCGATCCCCAGTAGGGGGCCTGCAGGAGGCAGCCGATCAATGATCCTCTCTCATCATTGATGTCAGTATCTCTCTCCCTCCCTTCCTCTCTGAAATCAATTTTAAAAAATATTTTAAAGAAAATTAAAACAAAACAAAACAAAAAGGGTAGCCTTAGGCAGCACTTGGTATAACAGAGGGTAGCATGTTTGTGCTGCAGCGTGTCCTAAGGCCTTTAAAATGCCAGTGTGCCTTGAGGCTCTGCAGGAGGGGCTGGGGTTTGCAGCCCTCACCCAACTTCCGTAGCCATTTGATAACATCTGGATCAGGAGCTGTTGGTGCGAACACTCAGCCACACCGAGCTGCTGCCCGGAACAGACATAATTGCATCCCATCCAGCATGGGGACACGATGTTGATTTTATTTCTTCCAGAAGCTCCCCTGGCGTCTAAATGGCACCTGTGGGCAATCAAGCGTGAGCACGCCCATCCCTGTGCCGGGTCCGGGTGTTCTTACCTAGGCAAGCTGTTCAGCTGGGCCTGTCTGGCAGGGGAGGGGCATGTCTTTTGTTCAGAAATCTCTTTTTCGGGAAATTCAAATCAGAGGCAGTGAGGTTCGCAGACTGGTGCATGACCCCCAGCTCACAGAATTTTAGAGCTGAAAACAGAGAGATAGCACACCTTCATGTTAGCAAAGAGGACAGAGAGGCAGTATAATGTGTCCGAAGTCACACAGCTGTTCCCCAGTGGGCTGTGAACCAAACCCAGAGCTGCGCTCTCAGAGCCCGTATTTCCTTGGTCCTCCTCCCAGGCCCCACCTTAGCCCGCTTGGGTTTCTCTGTAAGAGCCCAGAGAGCATGAGGGACCAAGATGGGCCCCTCGTTGACCACCCGAGCAGCGTGTGGCAGACCCTTCCCATAAGGACTCTCAAGGGCTAGGACTAGGGCCTCGGTCCCTATCACTGTCGCTGCCACATGCTCAGTGAGCTGTGCCCTGAACTCGGAGATGAGAGAGCACAGGCTGCTAAGCCCAATATAAATTCAACTACTCTGCCCCCTCCGTCCCTGTCCAGCTTTGAGCCTTATTGGTTTGTCGTCGGGACCACTGCCTCTTCTAGCCAACTGGCAAAGGGCAAGGAGGGTCAGAGGTCAAGGGACCTGGCTTCTGCTCAGCCCCCACTTGTCATGTGGCCAGTGGCCACTGTCTTCTCTGTGAGCCTCAGTGTTCTCACCTGAAAGATGAGAGGTTAGTTGAATTTAAAAAGTGTCAAGGGCTCTCCTAGCTCCAAAATTCCAGCATCCATGAATCATAGACCCCAGGCCTGGGCCTGCCCTTTATTTTACTCTCTCTCTCTCTCTCTCTCTCTCTCTCTCTCTCTCTCTCTCTCACACACACACACACACACACACACACACACACACACTCCGGTCTCCTACCTGGGCCACCAGTGACTGAACCCAACCAGAAGCAGAGGTTGAGGGAGCCCATCAGTACAGTCTCTGCCAGGGCGGCTTCCAGGGAGAGCACAGTGGAGAGGACTGGCCAGGGGACGGACAAACGGAAGTGATCCTGCACAGTGGACGCCCACCACCACACGGCCGGCCTCCCTCCCCACCTTCTCCTTCCGAGCTGGCCATCCCAGCCACTGTCACAAAGCCAGCCTCGTCCACCATAAAATTGCTCTGTAGCAGGCACCACCCTGCCTCAGCCTAGAAAATTTCTCCGCTTTTTCCGAGCAGCTTCCCTTCCCACTTCTCCCCAGTGTTTATTTCCTCGGCGTGTTTCCTGTAATTTGCAAAGATGAAAGATTTAAGCTTCTTTTATTGCGATGTACTTCCCCTGCCCTATTATGCATTCTGCCCATCGGGCCCCATCTCCCCATCTCCCCCGGCAGAGCCCTCGCCTCTCTGCATGAGCAGAAAACACCGCAGGTAGACCTCGCCTCCTGCCACCGTGGCCGCGCTCCTGAAAAATGAAAGAGGCCCAGCCTCTGCAGGTTGAACAAGCTCCACCGCCCTCCTCCTGATTCAACATCATCTTTCATGTTAAGCTGTCTGGGTGTCAGCCTGGTCCCAATTAACCAGGGTTCCTAACACTGTGTGTGTAGTAACTTCCCCGTTGTCTGTGCTCTCGCTCGCTCCCTGGGGCTTTGAATCCTGGTATTCCTGATGTGTAAACAAATCCTTCACCGCACTGGGCCAGCTCCGTGTTGAATCATTTAGTGGCGAGAGGAATGTGAGAATGTGAATACTTCGGTCCAGCACCAATCGGGTTATTGCGGGGCTGGCTTCCTGGATGTGCGACCCATATAGTCACAGGTCCCCATGCTCAGAAGGGTTTCATGTTCTGCTATGGCTGTCTTAACACCCAGTGATGTTTTAGGAAGGGGCCCCGAATTTTCATTTGGCATGGGGACCCAAAAGTTGTCTGGGTAGTCCCGGCTACTGCTACTGTTGTCGCCGCTGTTGTTGTTTGGTGAGCGGCCCACCTGCATCTCAGCAGGTGAGACCTCCCGAGGCCAAGACATGGGAGGGAGCCTGTTGCTGGGCAGCATGTGGTGTGGTGTTTCCCAGTGTCCAGTCAGACCCTGAGCAGGCTCATAGCTGGTCCAAGGGCAGAAAACAGTAGGCTCAGCCGAGGACACTTCCTCACTCATTTGCTGCATTCAACCATTACTGAGCTCTGCTCCATTCCAGGCGCTGGGCTGGAAGGAGTATGACAGTGAAGGCCTGTTGCCTTTCTCCAGCGCTCACTCAGAACCCCAGAGCCATGAAGCAGGGCACCTGCTGGCATGAAATAAACCAACTGCAAGGGTTAGAAAGAGTGGTGGATTGTAAGTCAGGTGACCTGGCTTCTAGCCCTGCCCTGCTCTTGGCTCACTGTGTGACCTTGGGCGAGTCAGTTGCCCTCTCTGGACTAGATCACTGCTTGCCCAAATAACACACCATAGCAGAATTTCCAGAAATGCGGATTTCTGGGCTTCAAACAATATAAATGTATTGTCTGACAGTTCCGGAAGCCAGCAGTTCAGAAGGGGTTTCCCTAGGCTAGCATCTAGGTGTTGGCAGGGCTGCATTCCTTCTGGAGGCTCCAGGGAAAATCCCTTCATTTTTCCAGCTTCTGGAAGCTGCCTCCATCCCTTGGCTTGCGGCTCCTCCCTCCATCTTCAGAGCCAGTAGCACAGCGTGTTCCCATTCTCTCTCTGACTCTGCTCCTCCTGCCTCCCTCTTGCAAGGACCCTGTGATCACACTGGAACCCACAGAGAGTCCCGGATATTCTCCCCACCTCAAGATCCCTAACTCATCGCCTCTGCACTGTCCCTGTGCCAGGGAAGGTAACCTAGTTTCCAGGAATAAGGAGGGGGTCAACTTTGAGGGCTTTTAGTCTGCCGGTCACATGACCTCTCTAGTGTCCCTTTGAGCGTTTCAGTCTCAGGGCTCCATAGCACCTGTTGTTTCTGACCCACAGCTCTGTCCCATTTTGTTCTTCCAGAGGAAACGACGTTTGAAGCAGGAGTGAAAGTTCAGATCCACAGTCAGTCTGAGCCGCCTTTCATCCAAGAGCTGGGCTTTGGGGTGGCACCAGGGTTCCAGACTTTCGTGGCCACGCAGGAGCAGAGGGTAAGTTCCTGGGCTCCCTCGGTCAGGGGTTCTCCTCCTCTCAGGCCGTCTGCAGAGGGGTGAGGAGGAAGAGAAATGGGATTCCCACTTCTGGAAGGTTCTGAATCCACCAGGAGGCTGGAGGGCAGTTGGGGTTGGTAAAGGGACTCCCCCTGAAAGTGGAGAAGGTGTCGGCTAAACTTCGTGGCCCAATTCTCAGGAACCACATGTCAGTTCCCAAAAGTGGGTGTGAAGGAAACCCAGCTTATTATCTTTTTCACTGAATTGGTTGGGTGTTTTTTTTTTTATACCCAACCATTCTGGGTGGGGGAACTATTGGGAGAGGGGTGGGGGGAACAGTAGATGATCTGAGAAACTGCTAACCAGGATTTGGTATGTTGCATCACTTGTGTTAATATAATTCAAAATTGCCTACACAAAGGTGAAGGAATGGGGTGTCACTCTCGTAATAGAATTAAGTGGAAGGAAGCCTCTTGCATGGGCTCCTGCCTGCTCTCTGGATTTAGTGCCAGGGGAGGGCCCCTCCCAGCCAACCAGGACTGCTGCATCCACCCTGCATGTCAGCGGAGTGAG